CTGATTGTACCAGTCGTGATATGGATCCTTAACCAAAGTCCCTCGGACACCCACGGCGGTGTCGCGCCGACTGCGGCGATGACCGGTGCACGAGCGATGTCACCGCTCGATCTAATTTGTGTGGATGAACCCATCCAATCGACGACCCTGGAAGACTTCTGGTCTGTGCGGCGTGACGAACTCAAGGCGATGGTGATGGCCTTGGATAATATGTACGAACAAGTCGCGTTGAAATCGGCGAAGAAACGCGCTCTTAATCGAGATCGCCGTGCGACCAAGAAGGTGGCCTCGATGACTCAATTTGACGTGGGGGACTTTGTTCTCTACTTGGACGTCTGTTCCATGACCCATGCCAAGCTCAGTGTCACGTGGCGCGGTCCGGCTCAAGTTGTCCGAGTTATCTCGGATTGGATCTACGAGATTCAAAATTTGATCACGGGTGTCGCCCGTGAAGCCCACCGCAGTCGGCTAAAGTTCTATGCCGACAGTTCACTCGACATGAGTGAGGAGCTACTGCGCCATGTGGCGCACAATGCCGGCGGACACGTCGTGGAAGATTTCCTCGGTTGTTGGTACAATGATCGATTGGCGGCCTATGAAGTGCTTGTCAGTTGACACGGCCTCCAAGACATGGAAACGACGTGGGTGCCAGTGACCAATCTGCTGGCAGATCTCCCCCACGACTTATGTGCGGGCGAACGCCCAAGATGCCACGATGGTGGCAATGGCGAAATTGTTGAGGTGACACAATCGTTTGGGGAATTGTTGCGGAATTGCCATTCGCAGAACCCCTGGACCCCCCCCAAGAGGCCGTCCTAGGGCTCAGTTCCCTTGGATAGTAAGCCGGACGATCCCATTTGTTAGTTGGACGAGTGACAGTGAGCATCTGTCTGATTAGGTTAGGGTTAAGCCCCAGTAGCTGCTTGCCGCTGAGGGAATCTACTTTGTGTTTTGCCTTTGGAAACCGACTTCGCGAGGTCCGTGAGGTGGAGACGCAACAGAAATTCGCCTCAAGTTCTTTCGCGGTTAGGTAACCGCCCAACGTAATGATAGCGTTGTGAGCGAAAGATTTCTTGAAGGTATTGAGACGACGTTTGGTCACCCTGTATAGGGAGGAAGCCCTCCGACTCCACGAGTTATTGCGTGTTGGCCGGAACCATGTCAACCTTTCCGCATGGACGAAATGTCGGGTGTTATCGGGGGCTATAAAGGCCAGGTCCGAGAGACTGTATTGGATTCACAATGGAAATGATGATTTGGGGTTTGCGTAGCTATTTTTGGATCCATGTCGAGGTCACAGTTCAACCTCAGCGCAGCCGTTGGTTGTGCAAGCTCGCGCTAGACGAGTGTAGAGTTTCATCACATCTAAAAAGTCCAATTCACACAAAATCTGTTCAAATCACAAATTTGGAAAAATGTGATTCCATGGGCTCAAATTTTGAAAGTATTGATTCTCAAGGTGGAAGTGCTACTGATTTCCACCCGACTTTTAAATGGGCCAAAGTCGATAATTTTTATGAATTTATAATATCGAATGTCGAGGTGAAATTGAAATTTCAAAAGGCTCAATGATGTTTTCATGATGCCACATTGAAATCATGAAGCTACGCATGACCTAATTTTTTTAAACTGTTTTTTTTAATCATTTTGTCCTTGTTCGATAAGCACGAGCTGTATGCTCATCACAAGGAACATCCAACCGCTACGTACTCCCAGTTGGCTATATGGGCTGCTGAAAAGTTCAACCTCGCATCAATCCCAACAAAAGAGACAATTGGAAATGTACTAAAACGACACACTTCGCTAAACCCTCGTGCCGACAACAAAATGCGTAGTATTGACCGTCCTGTTTCCCTGCCTGCTGTCGAACAAAGTGTCCTTGCTTGGGTGCTGCGGTGCGAAGTCTTGGGAATATGCATCACTGGCGAACCCATCCGCAAGCAGGCGTCTATCGTTTGCGACCAAACGAACATCCCTGCTTCGAAACGCATTGCCTTCACTAAGAAATGGTTATATAAGTTCCAAGTCAAGCATGGACTTACGAGCTAAGTGCAGCATGGAGAGGCTGCATCTGTGTCCCCTGCTGTCGTCGCCGAGAGCCGTCAAGAAATGAAGGCAGCCACAAGTGGCAACAGTGCTCACAATACCTACAACATGATGAGACGTCGTTCTTTAACTGTCTATCTCCACATCGTTCAATCACAAGCAACCGGCAACCAGGGACGAAAAAGTAAAAAAAAAAACGAATCACGATTGCACTACCACCAATGCTGCCGGTACGGACGTCGTCGATCCGCTTTTCATTGGCACTGCTGCCCGACCGCGGTGCTTCAACGGTGTTGCGGTCGCTGACCTTGGCTTCAATTACCTATCGAGCAAAAAAGGATGGATGACCGGTGGGATTTTCAACACGTACCTGCTGCAGATGAACCAGCGGATGCTTTCCGAGAACCGAAAGGTTCTCCTTCTGGTCGACAACGCGGCACCACATCGACCCGACGATGAGTCCCTATTGACAAATGTGAAGGTGAAAGTGCTACTGAAGAATACAACAGCTCACCTGCTGTCCCAGGACGCTGGCATCATTGCCTCATTCAAGGCGAGAGTGAAACAGCTCCAAGTGCAGAACGCCCTGCAACAGATTGATTCTGTGATGACTGGTAGACAAGATGGTCTCTACGAGGTACCTTTGGTGGAGGCAATGTCTTGGGCAAAGGAGGCCTGGCGGTCGATGACACAAGCGACAGTTGTTAACTGCTGGAATCGGACAGGCATTCTTGACACTGACCTGTCGACATTTAGCGACCATGTAGCGGCCAGCCAGTTGTAACAATTTGTACCTGTTTCATTTTGTGTCCTTTTAAAGGTATTGCTCAGCCGCCGTTTAAAAGTCGGGTGGAAATCAGTATTCACTTTACAAGTTTCAAAGAAAGCGTGGCTTTACCTCAAAAATTCAGCATGGTGAGACCGCATCTACTCCGCGGGAAACCGTCAACGTTGGACGCCGCGATGTATTGTCCGCGACAGCTGGGTACTCTGCTGACAACGTCTTGAACATGGACGAGACCGCGCTGTTTTACTGCCTATCCCCGCACCGCTCTATAACACGCAATCGTGTCCCTAGGTCGAAGAATCAAAGCAACGAATTACAGTGACATTGACGACGAATGCAACTGGTACTGACCATTTTGAGCCCATGTTCATTGGTACGGCCGCGAACCCTCGTTGTTTCCGTGGACGACCCGCCGAGGAGCTTGGTTTCTACTACCACTCCAGCAAAAAGGGTTGGATGAACTCTCAAGTTTTGAATCAGTACCTGGAAGTCCTGGATGCTGACATGGCCGAGCAAGGCCGCAAAGTCCTTATGTTGGTGGACAACTCGCCGTCGCATCAGATATTTGACACTGCAGTTTTGTCAAACGTTCGCGTGAAAACGTTGCCACCGAACACCACAACGTACCTACAGCCGCAAGATTCGGGTATCATTGCGGCATTCCAGGCGAAAATGAAGAAGAGGCAGCTACAGAACGCCTTAGATCAAATCATATCTGTTGTTGCAGGACGGCATGAAAGATTGTATGAAGTACCTCTTGATGTTGCGATGTGTTGGGCCAAGGACGCATGGCTCTCAGTGTCGCGATCAACTGTGGCCACTGTTGGACCCGAACTGGTATTCTGGATGGCGAACTCGCCGTATTTAGTAGTAGATTGTCCAGTTTGCAAGTGAACGATAGCGAATAAGCAAATAAATGGTTGTCGTCAATATCGTTTGACAATATATCCCCTGTGGTTCAGGTTTGCTTGTACAATTGGGAGAAGGTATTCCGATTCTCTTTCATCCAATTTGTACTCTTTGAGCATGACCCGTAGGACTTGTAATAAGTCCCGGTTCAGTCTTTCGACCGTTCCATTAAGCCAGGGGCTGTATATGATTGTGAATTTGTGATCCACTTTCATCTTAGCCGCCACGGCTTTCATCACTTCATTTTTGAAGTGAGTTCCCTGGTCTGACACCCATACTCTGGGTATGCCAAACCGCTTTGCCCAGTCAATTAGGGCAGTCACGACAACCTCTGCGGTCGGTGCCTCACACGCTACCAACTCGCAGTAGTGACTCAAGTCATCCTTAAGCACGAGAACATATTTCATTTTCCCGGCGTGGTCGTCGCCCACGTAGAGGTAATCAAAATGGATTCCCTCATTGGGTTTCTCCGCGTGCCAGAGTTCGCTGTGAGGTCTTTGTATGACCCTCTCCCCCTTTACAAAGGGGCACATCGGGCACTCGCGGACGAATGTCGAAACCAGCGCGTCTACTTTGTCCATATGAAAGAGACTGCGGAGGTGTGCACACATGGTAAATATACAGTACCACGGTGGCCCATGCTTCAGAAATGGGCTACCACGAGAATGCGCTGGATGAGTCCCGCGGCGTCCGATGGAATCCATAGCCGTGGTCCAACCTAAACCTCATGAGATTTCGCTTCGCCTTTGCAGGCGTCGTGGTTTTGGTTCACGTTGCGCAGTGAATATCTCAGCCATTGCTGGCCAGAAGAACCCTTTCTCATCCAACGGACGCAGAACTTCGCGTCGTTTAATTGGTGCTCGAACCTCTGGAGCTTTGCCAGAACCACCAGTTCGGGGGAGCCGGGTTCTCGCAGGTCTCACATGTTGCCAAGGGGTAGGCATGGCCTGATAGATGAAAATGTCATCAGGTAGTCCAAGACGACGGATAGTCGCGTTGGGAGGTGGGGAATGATCCCATCGACTCATCATATCGGCCCACACATTGTGCTTGCCATCAATATATACTGTACATGATGTAGCGGGACTCGCTGACGGTATCAGCCCATCTCATCAGCTTTCCTCGCGTATGTGCTTTCCACTCCGTTGTCCGGAGCGAGCACATGAATGAGATTTTTGTGTTCGCAATACATGCAAAACCCCCGAGGACGCATGAGCAAGTAGTTTAACTTGCTGTCTGCGCGGTCGATCGGATAGGCTTCCTTCTCGATCACCTACCACTTCAACTGAGCGCCTTTAAACAGATCACTCATGCAAGTCAGCAGTTCAGTTCATGCTGTTGCTTGTGGATGGGTGTATCCTCATCAAAGTTGTGGACTTGCGTGACTATGATCGACCAACCCTCATTTGATGCGTAAGTGAACAAACACATGGTGGCATCGTCATCTGGATGAGCGAGCTCTACCGTGGACCTTAAGGTCTCACGTACAGCTTTCCAGCTGATCTCCTCTTCGGGATTCAACGTAATCAGGATGCTCTGGGCAATTCGTTTCCGTCGTTTTTTCCCGATGAGTGCATCATCCAACCGACGCGTCAGTGGTTGTACCAGCTGCGCATATTCGGGGATGTGATCCCGCATCCAGTTCGTCGCGCAAAGAAATTGCTGCAACTGTCCTGCATTCACTGGGAATGGGATCTGGCACAGGGCCTCTAGTCGGTCGGGATCATGACGGACTACAACAAGATGTCGTCAATCCAGACGAGAAGATGTTTATGCAACAGTGAGCTACATACATTATTCATTGTCTTTTGGAAGTACAACGCACTATCGACATGTCCTTGCATTACTCGACTTGGCGTCATTATCTTTCCAT